ATTCTATTTTGAGCTTGACATGAATGAGTGGTGGGGGTATTGTTTGAGAAGATCCTGGAAGTACTTAAATAACTCTCCTGGTGATGTCTTCTGTGCCACTAAAGCAATCTTCTTCCTTTCTTGACCATTGGACAGAAATTTCCTCATTCCCACATATTTGTAGCACTTCCAAGTCACTTCTGAAATTGCTTTAGGGTGGAGGCCAAATTTACTCACTTGTTGCATTCTCTGTTGAGGCATTTGAGCTTGTGGTGGCTGCATCCTTCTGGCATGGCGTAAAGGGTGAGGTTGACTGCCTCTGTTAGGGTTTGAGGAAGCATTGGATTAGAACCAGTTCTCCGCAAGAATGCCTAAATTACATTTCAGTCTTTAAACACCATCTGAGTTTGTACTTGCTTCCTACAGAGGCAAGATCTTCTGTCCTTTTCCTTTACAGACTGCACAAAAATTATTTTGAGACTCTCAAACTTTCGATGTTTAATCTTTATTTCCGGATGTTGTGCCGTGAAGTCTAAAAATACCTCTGTTTCCATTTTTTCAAGCGTGTGCTTTGCATGTTCGATGTGCTGCTTCTTTCCACTTCTCTTTCGGATGACATCTTTTTTGCAAATCTCTAAACGTCTTGATTGTCGTACAGGTGGCATCTTTAAAAAAAGACAAATTGTTACCATCAAAGTCTTGATTGGAATCACACTGCAAGGTAGCATTTCATTTGTTTCTGAGGCATGGGGTGGGCGAACCTCGGACAAGTTTTTGACAGAAAACTGTGGTATCTTGAGCAAGTTGGTTCCTGGGGACATGATGATGGCTGATCGAGGCTTCACCATACATGAGAGTATTGCATTCAAGAGGGCAAAGTTGGTAGTTCCAGCTTTTACCAAAGGCAAGGAGCAACTTGACCCAGTTGATGTTGAAACCACAAGAGCAATTGCCAATGTTCGTATCCATGTGGAAAGAGTCATTGATCTCTTGCGCAGCAAGTAATCCTCATGGATCTCTTGAAGATAAAATCCCAGCTATTGACCGTGTCATAAAGGTTTGCTCTGCTCTGGTTAATTTATGTCCTGTTATAGTACCATTTGACTAGTCTATTTCAGTTATGCATTAGTCTGTGGAATCCCCCTTCGCTGACTACCCAACTAAAACTGGAGTCATTCAGACGGTGATGACCAATCAAATTTTATTTTAAAAAAACAATGCATTCAGTCTTTGTCATAGTCTCCCTTGATGAGCATCATACTCTTTGAGTTAATGCTGAGGAAAATATGTTTGAATAAATTTCAGGAAACAATTCTTTGGATCATCTGAGCTTATCAGTGATTAGCTAGAAAAAATGGCATTTCCACAAAAGTACCTTCCATAAAAATTGAAATGCATTGTTTTCATTATACACTTAAAAATGGTTCAAGTTCGAGGGGGCAAATGGATTCTTAGAGGGTTTTCTAGGTTTTTATTAAAAACAAAAAAAAACAAAAAAAAAAGGAAAAATTAATATGTTGAGAATACATGATATTTAATGAGGTAATTAAGATAAGTTGTTACAAGTTCAGCATCTGTCTGGGTGGTGACCCATATCTTAATTTGCTCTGAGTACTAAAAATTTCTAAAAATACACACATGGATCTGCACATCAAGCAGCAAGCAATGCTAACGGGAACAATTAGGATTTTTTTCCTGGTATAGCCTCCATTCATGTTTTTCAACAGAGCTTTAATTTATTGTGTTAAAAACATAGCACAGTACTGGTAAGGTTCATTAACGAGTGCTTCTGTCAAATATGTTCCAATATGCAATGTACTTATTATTTAATTATCATTTATTTTTTCTACTTATACTGCTTCATTATTGCAGTCCTAATGTACTTCATGACAGCATTGTTAATCAAATGCCACTGAATTAGTTTCAATTTAAGAAACTGAAATTTGAATATAAATATTACTAATATGAACAATATCTTCATTGATTCAAGTATTACAGATTGGTGTCATGTGGGAAATGCTGAGTAATTCCTTCGACATGGAAAACATTTATTTCAGACAAATTGCCCATCATTTAGTATGAAACAAGAACTGAACAGTTAACCATTTTACCATTGTTACATCCCTGATGGTGGATAAACTTAATCATTGGTGCGGTACTCTCCATTTATATTTTGATAATAATAAACTATAACAAATAAATAGATAAATACTATAACTCTTGTGGCTTATTTAGTGTCAATACCAGTTTATAATAGTAGCTTATTTCTCAGGAAATGGGCTAATCACATTGAGATAAATGTGGGCGCATCTGTGGTACATCAAACTTGGCTATACCAGGGTTTAGACCATACACAATACATGTTGCAAATGCGATAGAAAACACACCGCAATCACTGCCATTCCTTTGTTGCTGGACAGGTACGATGTTTATCCCTACAAATTTGTCTGCCATTAGATCTGTCACCTGTTCTTCTACTTCATCTACAATGATGTCATGGAATAAACTGTCATACAAGTTTACTATGCCAGGTAAACAGCCTACAGAACTAGTGCTTACCTAATGATGGTTACCTGTGTGTAGAATTTGCACAAATTCACTTGTTACAACATCAAGGTTCCTTACTGGTCCCAGCGTAGTTCTTTGAAAACCCTCAAACAGTGGATTTACCTGTTTCAGTAAAATTTTGGCTTGTTGAATGATGGTGCAGTCTAACCATCCAGTTGGGGATTCAATGCTATCATAGTAAGCCTGAGTTAAATTCCCCAAACAAGCTGTTTTATCAATGTTTCCTCTAGTAACATTGGTTATCTCTACATCATCATCACTGTCAGATTGATCATCAGATAGTTCATTGTCACTGTTATCTATGTCAGATAGATCATGAACATTGTTATCATCATCACTACAAGTAAAATCTTGTGGGCTCGAAGAAGTACAAGTGGTAGATTGATTTAAAGAATTTGATTTAGAACTGTGGCATTCAGTTAATGGTGTGGTGATGGGTTGAGATGCTTTGGTTGTGCTAATGCTTATATCATTTTCTTTGTGGGGCTTTCCTTTGCAGCTGTTACAAATCCATGTGCTCTTGCTGTTGTTGGGTATCCTTTTACAGTTAAGGCAGCCTAAATGAAAAAATTTTCCATTTAGACAGTCTTTACTGTGACATTCAAGAAGTCTATCACCTGACTTTGGCTTGGAATTGCAAATACTGGCTCCGTGCTTAGTCCAAACGCTAACTGGGCGAGATGAGAAACTTGAGTTTCGTAGCTTGTGCGATAGAACATGGCTAACTTAAACCCTACCATGCACTGAATAGCCTCTTAAATTGTAGAAGAACGGGGTATTTCGAGTTAGTTCGAAAGCCCCAGTGAGAAAGGCAATAAAAAGTGCCGCCTTTCGTAACGTGGCCGCCATATTGGGCGCTAATTTATATATAAAAAACATATGCCTCAACAGCAGATGCCTCATGTTTCTTGCCATGGGTGACAGCTTTTGAGGTGACTTTGAACAAATGGGGGTAGCAGAGAGACTTTATCAAAAACTGCGTAGGATTACTGTGTGTCACAGACCAACTGACTGAAGCACCAATACAGCCAGCTCTGTGTTGGTAGAAGAGATTCCCCTTGGATTGCTTCCTTGTGTCGGCTTCAATGGCATCTAGTTCACTATCATTAAGGTTTAAGTTGACCTCCAAGCATTTTTTCAGCAGCTCTGGATAGTTCAGGTTTAGATAACTAGGGTCGTATAAGTCTGATATTGTAACAACATGTTGGCTTCTGGATATAAACCTATCACAATAAGGTTTAAAGAGACTTAGGATGACTGGTTTTATATCCAAACCATTCAACTTTTTCAACTGAGCTTCCATTTCATCCTCATTGGGTGATCTTAACACGTTGGAAGTCTTGCTATGTCTTGCTTGAGCACTTGTTCGGGACTGTTTCTCCCCCACAAAGTCATCTATCTTGAGATCCAGCTCAGCTTTCAGTTTCTTTGCTGATTTAAAATTGATATCCCGAGCTCTAGCGTACGGAACTTCATTCACATAGGTCGGCAAAAGCCACGTGCATTTGACTTGGGTGCATGCTAGTTTCCTGTTGATTCTTGTCCATGTCTCAATATAAAAAGCACGCTCGCAACATGGGAACACTTTTCTGCTAATCTTGCTTTACATCCCATGCAGTGGGCCGAAATAACAGTTCCTTCCTCACTCGAAATAATCCAAATGGGGATCGGAGGGTCATTCATACGCTGGGAATGTCGCACCTTTGCTATGATCACGTACTTTCCGGCGATAACCTTCCCTTGTACACTTGCGATAAAGCCAGAAACCATCTGGTTATATGCCTCCAAACTCTTGAAGGCCTTGAACTGCTTAGCAGTATAAAAGCTGGTAACCAAAACCAAATAGGATAGCAGATCCGTAGCTTCGATAGGAGGCAAACATTCCGGATCCAACTTTGCATTCCACAGCGTAGCCGGGTCAATACCAAAGAGTGAAATAACGACGTTTTACGCGACTTTCTAGCTTTTTAGAGTACTCCGATGACAGAGGAACAAGAGAGCAATCTTCTTCGTCAGTTTTTTCTAGTTTTTCTTGAGCAGATTCGTGAGATTCCTCAATATCACTTTCAGACATACTGAAAACCTTAATCAAACATTGCAAGTTGATGTATGCAAATTAGCCGCGTGTACAACAATATGGCCGCTAACGAAATACAATTACCCTATGACGTAACGTGAAAACCGAGAATAAAAAACAATAGCTTTACTTTAAAAACTTTTGTTTAGTGCATTCTTCGATGTTAGTTGTTCGATGTAACTGGTTAATGCTGAAGCTCTCAGCCAATCAGATGAGGGTTAATCTCCATTTTGAGACCATAATGCTGTTTTAACATCGGAATTTTCAATTGGTTTTTTTCAGTTTTCTTGTCAGGTCATCAGGAAGAGATGAAAAACCCAGTTGCTTGCAGTGTGCCAAATAGTACAGGAGGGCAATCACATGATTGCAGTGGAAATTAAAAAAAAAAAAACTTAAAACTTTCAAACTTTTTTTTGGGGCATCTCGACCATAACTGTCCATTAACGCTCTCATTTCGATTCTGGGTTTGCCCATGCAAACACCTCTTCAATAAATCATCATTAGTAAGCCTAATGAAAATTGGCTTCAGTTCATCAATAAAAACACAAGGAAGGCGGTTGTCCTCTTTATATTCTTCTGGAGCCTTCCAAAATTTGCACCAGGTACCTTCGCCTTTGGGGCATAGCTTATGCTGCTCCTCTAGGGTACATGAATCATCTTTTATCATGTGATGATAGATTGCCCATACACTGTTCTTCATTTGGTGTAAATCACCTGTATTTTCGCGTATGGCTCTTCCATAATATTTTTGCATTCTGTCCACAAAATTGTCAGTCAGTCGACCCCTTCCATCAACCTTTCCTCCATCCAACATCTTTAGGCCAGCCATCTTTATATTTCTCTTGTAAATTCTGAGGGCAGTCCCTAATCTCTTCTGCACATGGCCAACACATTCTTCCTTAACCACTGGATATTTGTCTCCGTAAAGTTCAATCATTTTTGAATTGACTCTGCCAAAACAGCTGCTATCACCATCTCCCACAAAGGTAGAATATATCAGCTTCCTCTTCTCAATGCCATGATTGAAGTTGTTAACTGTTCCTGAGGACTTCATTTCTTCAGAGGAACCCACACTGTTTACTTCACAGTGGCTTGCATCTGACTCTTTCCAAGAAAGATAATCAGGTGATATTTTATCACTGTTCCTTGGATGAGCATTCTTTGCAAATGAGGGATTTCACCACACAGTCAATAATTTCGCCTCTCATTACTGAAACAGCAAACATTTCACCAATCTAAGAGCTGTGCCTTCTCTTCTGTCAAGTTCCATCTATTGAAACAGCAACTTTGTACACTGATTGGCCATCAATTTCTACAACGCATTCTTCACTTTCGTGGAAAGCTAGTTGTCTTAGCCTTTCTGCTGCTGCACACATTAGTGTCTCAGCATTACTCACAGCTAATTTTTCAACTTGTTTCATGTGTTGAATATAGGCCTTCTTGTTAATTGGAGGTGGAAGTTGCAGCTCATATGGCAAAACACTCTGATAGTAGTTTAGCATCTTGTAGGTTAAAGCCATGAGCCTCCTCATTAACACAAATTTCTGCTGAACTACTTTGAGAATGAGTGATGACTGCCTCTTGTCGATCAAAGTCCTCCAAAGAATTGTTCATAAGTTTCAATTCTGACATATTTTTCGGCGCAGTAGGGTCTAGAAAGTTATCGTACTCATTTTGAGCCTTGGATGTGCTTAGTTGTGGCTCCATGTGTGATTCTATGATGGTGTTATTTCTGCCATTTTCCTCTGCTTCCCTTCACTCTTCCATGCTTTTTTCCCATGAAAATCTTTCCTTTTCCTCCTTCGACACGATCTAAACTTCCCTTCTCTCTTACTTCCGGTTTTTCCCTTGGCTTCCATCAATAAATTCCAAATTACACAACTTTGACAATATGAATACTCCAACACTCGCTTGCATTACTCGGTGAGAAAGTCAAGCAGAATAAGCGCAAAGTGTTGTGGGTTAAAAAATTTGGACGGTCATGGAGTATAAGACTTCTGGGTTACAGGAGAGCAAATTTGGATCGTTTCTCGAAAAACCCATATCTGTAAACCATGGCAACCGAAATCAACAAAGTGTAAACAATGGTAGCTAAGGCGTTTTTAATGACTTCCATTGATTAAAAATCAATTTTAAGATGGGATTTTAAAACATATTGTAAAATGCTCTCAGAACTAAAAAGCCAATATTATGAACGTCCTTCCTACTCTTTTCAAGTTTGTTCTACAAAGGCTCAGAACCCTTCTTGATTCGCCACGTCTGGAGGAACGGTTGCAGAGTGAGCACTTCTATTTAAAATCACTGTCTCATTTTTAAATCATTACCATTTATTTCTTTGTATGATTATTTATGGGATTCATGGGAAATAACCCATACAATCTGATAACAAGAAGAATCAGATTTACAGACTTTACATTAAGAAGAGAACATTCGCCTTTGTCACGGTATCGCCATCTTGAAAATGACGTAATGCTTTTTGGCATGAAAACGAGGTCACGCGTGGTTCTTGACACACTGAACACTCGAGCGATCATGCGGAACAAAGATCACTGTTGTGTTCCTAAGTGCAATAACAATAGATCAAAAGTGCAGTCTAATATAACCTTTCATCAATTCCCGAAAGACAAAGACTTAAGGGGGGATTCTACCTAAAAAAAGTGCATTTTTTCAAATAATTGTAGGAATTTAAGTTTTGGTCACAACTATCTAAAACTATATATCACTGGAAAGCTTATGAACTATATTTTTCAAAAAAAGGTGTTATGTCACACCTGCAGCAAATGTAACCTGACACCGGTCATTTCAATTAACAACTTGTAGTGTCTCACCTATATGTACTTGAGTAAAGATTGTTAGAAACTGTTTCAATGAAATACCAATATTTTGCTGTTATTCTAAAGAATATTGAATACTTGTTGGGATGAGTGAAGGATTTCAAGAATTTTTAAATTTGACATCACAGCACTGGTGTCAAGTTACACATCTAACACATGATCACTATTTGTTTAATCATTTCTTTAGAAAGACCTCTATGGCATTTTCCTTCACTCATCCCAAATAACTCAATTAGATCAGCAATCCCTAAAAATTTCAGGTCCATAGCTCTCATACTTCTTGAGTAATCTTTTCTCAAGTATTAAAAAAAATACGTTTTGAGAAAAAAAAAGGCCTAAAGTTACAAGATTTTAAAATTAAACACCTCCTGTATTCAAATTATGAAGTCAATGAGTAGCCATAAGTTCAAATATAATTAGGATAGGCAAGAGCAAGAGTTAGAATGCCCCAGCTTCATATGAAACATCTTCTTTTTCACGAAGAGCCGCTTCTCTTTGAGTACGGATAAGCTGCAATCCCTGCCGGCGCTTCTTCTCTCTTGGCCGTTGCCTGCTTATCAGCTTTCCAAGCCTTGAATTATCTCTTAGTCGAAATGCATCCTCAGTAAATGCACCTCCAGGAATTGAAAAGCCTTTCCATCAATCTTTCTCTGCTTTCTGCACCTCTGTGGAAATGGCAGACTGCAGACGCAGCAGCACACCGGACAACTTTCACTCCATGGTGTTTATGTTTGGGACACGGACCCAAACCATTGCGTTGATGCTTTCATTTGGGTTCTGGGTTTTTCCTCGTACACATCTTTCTAAAAGTTTACTGTCACTTAATGACACAAATGTGGGTTTTAGAGTCTCCACGAAGACTTCGGGCAAACAGTCATCTCCTTTGTAGGTACTGGTTCCTGTTGCCTGGTCCTGTTGCCATTTGCACCATGATGAATCACCTGGTGGACAGAAGCGGTGTTGTTTAGCATTGTCAGTTGAATTTACACAGTGATGGAGAATGGCAATAATATTTTTTTTCATAGCATAAACTGCAATGTCAACCTCCCGTTCAGAGGGATTTGCCTTGGTCAAGGTGTTTTGCCGGATTGCTAGGCCATAGTACCTTTGAAGCTGCTTGATCTTTCCTTCTGTAAGCCGCCACGCCCTCCTATAGGTTTTCCATCAGCAAGTTTACCCTTACTGCATGCCTTCAAATTCATTAAATGTTTGCCCATCCTTTTCTGCACATGGCCTACACAATCCAGTTTAATAACTTCACAGTCATCATAGGCATGTTGAACAGTGTTAAAGGCCTTACTGTCCCCGTCTGACACCATCCATTTGTACCTCATGTTATGAAGTTCGATGGATCTATTCCAAAGAACAGAAGCTCCTTCTGCTTCCACAGCAGGTGAACTTCCTTCGAAGTTGATGTCACAATCTCCAGATGCAACATGCTCCCTCCTCCATTCTTCAAACTCTTCCACATTCCCTTCACATTGTGAGTTCTTTAGGGAGCACTTACGGCAAGATTTAGACATCACGTGATAGTCTAAAACTTCTCCTGTGTCAATTGAGATGACGAAAACAACACCTGTTAGTGATGTGAAACCTCTTTTTTGGCCCAAGTGCCATCAAAGCTAACAGCAGCATCAATTATTGTGGTGCTGTCTGAGATGCCATTTTCCTCCATGATTAGCTTTCGGAGCCTTTGGCCTGCACCTTTTAGTTCTTCTTTTTGCTCACTTTCCAGTGCTTCCAAAATTACATCAACTTGCTTGTAGTAAGCAGCTCTTGACAAACAAGGCATGTTCATTATCGCACAGAAAGAAGAGAGTCCGTCGTAGCCACTTCCAGTTTCTATTGAGTGGTAGACAGCTCTCCGGTTGACATCAAATGATTTGCCTTTCTTGGCAAGGTTGGGTGATGTCTGCCAAGGAGTACTTTCATCACAAGAATTGCAGTGAATGGAGAGATCTGACATCAGTCCATAACGGCTAGCGGTATTTTCTTCAATAGTAAGGTCTCCTATATTAAAAACATGACGGAAAAGGATGCTATTAGCTATAGTTACTGAACCAAACAGAACCACAATGTTGGAGCATTAGTTCACACCTCCATAAATGTGTACAAGTGTTGCAGTGAAGAAAGATCAGAAAAAATGATTAAACAATAATAAAACTCCTTTTCTGCAAATAATTCTAACTATCGTTTTTCTTTAGGTTCAAGGGGCTGAAAAGCATATTTATGATGTGTGATATTTTTCTCACCTTCTTCGCATTTGTGTAAAGTTGAGAGCACAGAAGAGAAGCTCTTTAGATCAACGAGCCTGTATCCTTTTTCTACCTCAGCTACCTCGAAAACTTTTTTGTTTTCATCAGAACTTGAAGAAGACTCATCTTCTGAGCTCTGGAATCTCATCTTCTTCCTTGAAGAACTAGGAAGCTGATCGCTTTCTTCGCCAAAATCTGACAGATCAGACTGATCGTGCGAAGTTCCTGGGGTCGGTTCGTTTGGTTCACTCTTCCTGTTGCAACCGCTTTTCTTCAGTAATTGCGCTTTTTTACGATCTCCTCCATGCCCCTTTCTTTTCCTAGTTTTCCTGTAAACGGTTCTTTTCTTCTTTCCAGTCATTCCAGCACAAAAGAGACAAAAGGAGTTCAATATTTCGCAATACACTGTGACAACTTTCACACAAAAATCTCTCACTCGTCTCCAGTGTTACTCTTTCAATTTCTTATTTTCCCCTTCATGTAAGACAGCACAAGGATTCTAAGGGGCGTTTCGGGCTTGTTTGACATATTTTGAGCTCCAAACAGGCTGGTAAACAAGTAAGAAACAAAAAATGCTGTTTTGGTTGCCATGGAAACGAGATTTCTATTTAGATACCTCTTCTTTTCTAACGTAATTTCTCATTTATATTTTAAAATTTTTCGGTAAAAACGATCGTCAGTGTAAAGTCGAATAGTTGAACCTCGCATTTCTGAAGAAAACAAAAAAACAATATTTTGAGCTAATTTCAGGTAGAATCCCCCCTTAAGAAGACAGTGGATTATAAAAATTAAGCGTGATGTCGGCCGGTCCTTCAAGGTAAATGGCCTTTTATATATCATAGTTCAGTTTAGCGTCGTTTCAGCGTTGTTTATATAGCAAACCTTATATTTTTTCCGATATCTTTCAGATAACCAACAGTACAAGAGTTTGCTCTGATCATTTTAAACCCACAGATATAAAAAAAAAACGCTAACAGGAAAAAAAGTGTACTCTTAATGGTGCTGTACCATCCGTTTTTGAATGGACAACTTTATCAAAGAAACGAAAGTCACCAACGAAACGCGAATGCACAACACGTACTAACACAACCGAGATTGATGTCGTGGATAATATACAGCCAATCTCCTCTACAGGTATTTATTTTTATGAAATCGTACTTTAGGCCCCCCCTAAATATTTCTAAACATGTTATTTTCTACATTCCCACAGTCGAAATTGGGCCCATCAAGATTCAAGCGTAGACGAAAATGTCATCGATACTAGCAGCCACATGGAGGACTCCACCGTAACTACTGACACCACAATCATAACACCTACTGTCAACCTACATGATTATTTATTTACTGAACCCGAAAAGCCTGTAGAAGAGCTACTTGAGGCAGCGCAAGCTCGTATCGAACAATTAGAACAGCTGCTTTCAAAACAATCTTTTACAGACAACTGAAAGGGATGTCAGACAAACGCGTTAGATTCCATACTGGCTTTTCGTCATTTGCTATTTTTTGTGAGTACCTTCAATGCCCTTAGACCCACAGCTGAAAGTATGTTTTCATGGTCCCAAGTACAGAGAGCACGAGCAAAAAGTGGGAAAGATATAAGTAACATGAGAGACACTCTCAAGACATGCAAACTTAGCTTATTTGATCAGTTTTATTTATGCATTACTAAGCTGAGGCTGGGTACTTTTAATGAGAAACTAGCCAGTGAATTTGATATTTCTATTTCAACTGTGAGTAGAGTTTTTATTTCTTGGGTTAACTTTCTCTATTTTGTTTTGGGAACCATTCCTATATGGCCCTCTCGGGCAAAAATTGACAAACATATGCCTAAGTGTTTTAAATTGTTATATCCTAAATGCCGTGGTATTATTGATGCCTCAGAGATCAAGGTACAAGCACCATCTAGTATGGTTTTGAATAGCAATTGCTATTCATCATATAAAAGCCACACAACTTACAAAGGCAATGTTGTAATATCTCCATCTGGGGAAATTATTCATGTAAGTTCTCTTTTTGAAGGAAGTATTTCTGACAAGGAGCTTGTTAAGCAATCAGGTTTGTTGAATTTACTTGAGCCAGGTGATCAAATAATGGCTGATAAAGGATTTACTATAGAGGATCTATTAAAGCCAATAGGTTGTGGAGTAGCAATGCCTGCCTTTTTGTCAAGTAAGGGTCAATTTTCAAAGAAAGAACTTTCAACCAGTAAACAGATACATAATTTAAGAGTCCATGTGGAAAGGGCCATAAGAAGGGTGAAAGAGTTTCACTATTTTGATAAAGTTATACCTCTTACAGTAGCTGGCAGCATTAATCAAATATGGACAGTGGCATGTCTTATTACCAATTTCCAGGGCCTTTGTTGCATGAAAAGCAATATATCTAAATATGTATACAATTGTTGTAAAATAGATGGAAGAGTAAGCATCATTTAAAGTAAAGTATGTAAGGATCTGTAATACAAATAGTACTAACAACTTTTAACAACTAAGAGTTAGTTGACATTGAGTGAGGGTACACTACGTATTAGGTCCAACCTAGGTAAGAACTATGCCATCTGTTAACATGTGATGTGGAAGGGTGAATAGTAGGGTGGCCCTATCCCCTAGGGGCACCCTTTTCGTATGTACATGGCATATTGGTTAGGCATTAAAATAAACAGTAAAATCAGTAAAAATTATATTGTTAGTACTATTTTTGTTTTACAGATTCAATGCAAGCTTTCAAACTAGCTTTTGGAAAAAAAAAAATTATGAATTTAATAACTTTACATTTATTCACAAATTTCATTATTGCCAAATATTATAAAATGCCCTTTTGGGGTTTAAATACAAAACCTGTTGAAGTCATTCATGTATTTTTTTTTATCATGTTTGTACAGAATGTTCTGTTTAATAACAGTAAAAACTATTAAATGGCTTGAAATACACCCAACTTAGTCACAGTATTTGAATGCATGATAAACAATGAAATATGTACAGCTGTTTGTAAAAATTATGGCGCTTACAATATATTACAGACATATAGGCTTAAATGAAACTGAATTATCATAAGTATTGTATTTTTGGAAAAAATACAAAAACTATTAAATTACCAATCATGAACCCAATGTTTTTTTAAAGTTGTGGCAATAATTTCTGCAAACAGCTGTGTAATGATAATTACTAGAACAAGTTCTGAGTCTAATTAGGTTTGACTTGTTACATTTTAACATTTTAAGAATGCTGATTCAAATGTCTTTACTCCACTTCCCACCAAACTTTGTCACACACAATTAGCTTGTTACTTAGGCACGAAGTTATTTTGTATAAGAGACATACAATAAATTATTGAACACATGTATTCAGGTGATAATCAAAAAAAAATAAATTTCAGTTTGTCCAGCATTTCAGAAAAGAGAAGTTCATCAAAATATACTCGTTCACAGTGAAATTCGTCTTTGCAGTAAACAAAGAAATCGCACCACTGACTTCCTGTTAAACCAAGGCATCCCATAACTTGATAATAATACTTGTGTGTCTTCTTCAATGAATATGACCCATTTCGTTCATTAAACTTTAAATACTGAAGGTTATCCAGATGACTTGCTGGAGAGCACTTTATTTCTATCAGGCCCCATGGATGTTGTTCAGTGTCGTCAAACACTCTTCTGTCTGGGCTACAGCCTAGGTGTGGGAGACATGGGTTTATAAGAAAACCTACTAGGTGAGTGTCTCTGCCAAACTGTGTTTTGTACATATCAGCAGCTACCCCCTCATTTTGTATCCCATATTTCATGGCTGCAGTTTGGATTACTTTTCCCTTTAGTAAACGCGTAGAAAGGATTTCATGGTCTTTTCTTCTTGAGCATATATCTTTGAAATTTGAAGCTGTAAGCCTAAACTTCCTTAGTTCATGCCATGCTGTTGTAGTTGACTGTTCCCTTGTCTCCATTTCAAAGTCAATAGACTGTTGACCTGATATTGCAAGGGAGCTGAAGAAAAGGTCTTGTTTTTCATTGAGCACTGTATCTGGATAGCTTAAAGATGGAAAGTTGAATGCAGGTAGCTGTATGTTAATATTGCTCTTAACTTTCAATGGCTGTTGATAGCTTATGACACAGCCTTTTGGCACCTTTCCAAAGGCCGAGTCTACTAAAATTGGAGGCTCACTTTGTTCATCTTCCCATATTCTCATAAATCCAGGTTGATTGTTGAGATTTTCAAACTGTGGCGACAGCACACTAGTCAAGTCAAGGCTACTTAATGATTGCTGGAAGGGTTTGTAGATCGTGCTTGCCACACCACACACCTTTCTCTTCTTTTTAGGTTCATGCAATTTATCTTTTGGCTTTGACTTTTGTATAATCAAATCTGTCACTGGCCTTGCTTTAATGCCCTCTTTACGACTGGGGATATGCCATCTCTGCAAAAAAATAATATACAAATATACTATATGAATTCAAAATTGCTTATTGTGTTATGTTTAAAAACAGCAGTGTGATTAAAAGGAGTTTTTAAGGAAAAATATTGGTAAGATACAGTCAAATCTCTATACATTAATGACTGTTTTTTCTTATTGTTTATCATCAAATCTATTATTATTATTATTAAATTTTACCTGTGCCTTTGATGTTTTAGAAACCATTGGCGGGACACTTTTTAAGCCTAATAGCTGGAAATGGGCAAGAGTATAGAGCAATCCAAGAACATGATGGCAAAGACCTTGTCCAGCAGCACAACTACACATATACTTGTTGATGCTAGCCTCAATAGAGGAGCTCTCGAACACAACAGACAACTTGTGAGGATCTTCGTTCTTTTTCATACTTCTGAAGCATTTAGCCCGAGCCACTACTCCTGAATCCTCTTCCTTGCAAAGTTTTACTGTTAAAAACCGAGAAAAAAGAGTTAAAACTCAAAACACTGAGCACAGAAACAAAATATTGGAAAGACAGTCAAACAAAGAAAGCTACCACGAGGTCAACGAGGCTCACCTTCAATATCGTGAATATATTCTTCGTGAAAGAATTTATATCCTCTTGTTACAGTGGCTTTGATCGGTAGGTTCTTCTCAGCAAAATCCTCAACAAAAGAGTTTGTAACTTTGGGTATTTTTGTTATATTTTTGTGCCAAAATTCGAGTTCAACGCTATCGCTACTAGTCGCCATTTTGTTTGTGAACTTACCACGCGTGGCCTCGACCTCATGTACAATATTCAATGACGTAATCCAAGATGGCGGGCCGTGACAAAGGCGAATAAAAAGAGAACATAAAAAAGAGGAGAAAAGAAAGTTCAATACTGAATATCTATTAAAAATAGTTCAATTGAGGTATTATGAACTAAAAGTGACCCTGTGTTACATGATGTACATATTTAAC